GCGCCTCACAAGAGACGGGGGTCGTCCAGGTCTGGAGCGAAGTTTCCTCCTAAGGAGCCTCGCACCTTGTGCAAATTTCTCAGTGCTGGACACTGCCGCTTCGGGCCATCGTGCACCTTCCTGCACCCTGGGGTCAATGGGCCTCCTGTCCGTCCAGAGTAGATATGCTTGCTAGAAATCGAGAGACAGACATATGTATATTCAGATATATCTCTCTTAGGATTGAGGAATAAACCCGAAGTTTCGAAAAAACACTAGAGTCCCATTCTCCGAGATGCTCCGTTTCACTCGATCTCTTCCATCGATCAGATTCCGAGCGGATCAAACCCTGCCAGCCAAATGCGGCTCACCCGGAAGCCAGGATTCTGATGAGCCGGAGTCTGATGGGCAACATTTAGAGGGAGACGGCGGCAGCAAGGGGCCACGCTCTCCCCATCAAAATTTCGCCACCGCGATGCAAAGCGCCTGTCTCCTTCACCAATGCTGAGACTGGCGGTAGGCATATCATTGTCCGATTGTTCGTCATCAATTATCTCATCTTCCTTCAAGCTGACTTTGAGCAAGGAGGATCAAGCTTTCATTCAACGGATGAATTGCTTTACTCCCTTGTTCCCAGCGGGAATATTATTACATATCATGTTATTATGAGTTGAGCCCTTACAAGTTCTGACATTTCTCGGAGCGGGCAGCAACGCTAAACACGTATTCGATCAGAGTCTTCGCTCTGGTTCCGAGCTCATTCCACAGTCGTATCAAGCGATCGTTCGATATTCTGGATTCGCTTGACGATTTCGAGAGATACAGGGCAGCACACATCAAAATGAAGCCCCGGCAGCGAGAAAAAACAAAATCCTCGATATTCTTAATTGAATTGATGAAGCTCTCCTACAATCCTTACCTCGGGAATAGGTCTTGAAGGAATCGCTCCGGAACTCGCGGCAAGGTGTGAAAAGGTTCGCATACCTTGAGGAAAGCGAATCGAATCATACGGCGCCACGATCGCGAACTCGAACAGGATAGCTTTGGCTCCGGGCCGTGCGCCGAAAAGCCGGATTGAATGAATAATTCCCATGATCCGATAGTGATTATAATAATTGATTCACAATACATCTCGGGGAATTGAGGAGCGAGATCCCATCGTACTGACTGTGTCGGCTCGAGTATCGCCCCGGCTACGCATTTCGCCGAGCCCCTCTCCCATGCCCATCTCTGAAAGAGGCAGTAATTTCGTTTTCAGCCGAAGAATCCTCCCTCACATGATATGTTAGGTATTCGGAATGGAATGCGACGCACCCATTCGCGCTGGTGATGACTGCTGGTGAGCTGAAGACTCTCTCTCGCCCTCCCCCCCTCTCATCTTCCGTGAACATGAGGATAAAAGGAGGCTGCTCATCAACTTGACCTTCACTGTATCGGAGCTTTTCGGTGCTTTCGTTCCTGCTTCCTGCGTGCGAAGACTTCGAGTCCACCGAAGCAAAGTCAAGTACATACATCAGAAGCATCCCAACGGATCCAGAATGGTGAGTCTCCTCTCGTCGACATTCTTATATTCATTCTCCGACCGAGGATTTCCTCGAGATCACCTCAAGCTCCGGACTCATTCAATCATTCTCCTCTCAGACGAAATCCCATGCTAACCCCTCGTTGGACGTGCTGCTGAATTTGCTGCCCAGGGTTGAAGGCTCAAAGCGCAGAATGACCGTAGAACATGGTTCAGGGGGGGAAAAGAAGATCAAGCAAAGTGATCCTGGAAATTCCCCTGAAGGACTGACAGCCGCTGGCGAAGCACTCTCTCAATGGAGAACTCCTTCGCAGATTGAATTCTTGGGAGGCCGTCAGCCGGTGCTGGCACACATTGGTGCATCGCCGCGGTTCATCCCCGACTTCCACCAAAACTTCGCAGCTCCGCCGCCCTTCAGAAGTTCTTCGAGAAGCTCGCCGCGACCTCAGAATTCGCAACCGATTCCGGAGTATTTCACCGAAGAGTTTCTCGCCGAAGCCGAAGCTCGGAGGAAGTCAGCGCTTGGCTTTCTTCCTCGGAGGGACGTTTCCTCGGAGTCGCCAAATAGAGAGGTCGCACAATACAAGTCTCCCGCGTATCTCAACGCGCCGGTGTTCCAGACTGGCATGATGCCGTCGAGGCAAACAGCACCTCACAAGAGACGAGGGTCGTCCAGGTCTGGAGCCAAGTTTCCCCCTGAGGAGCCTCGCACCTTGTGCAAATTCCTCAGTGCTGGGCACTGCCGCTTCGGGCCATCGTGCACCTTCCTGCACCCTGGGGTCAATGGGCCTCCTGTCCGTCCAGAGTAGATATGCTTGCTAGAAATCGAAAGACAGACACATGTATATTCAGATATATCTCTCTTAGGATTGAGGAATAAACCCGAAGTTTTGAAAAAAACACTAGAGTCCCGTTCTCCGAGATGCTCCGTTTCGCTCGATCGCTTCCATTGATCAGACTCCGAGCGGATCGAACTCTACCTGCCAGAGCCGTGCTCCCCATCAAAATTTCGCCACCGCAATGCAGAGCGCCTGTTTCCTCCACCAATGCTGAGACTGGCGGTAGGGAACTCATGGTTGTCCCATTGTTCATCTTCCATTATCTCATCTTCCTTCAAGCTGACTTTGAACAAGGAGGATCAAGCTTCCATTCAACGGAAGAATCGATTCTCTCCCGTGTTCCCGGCGGGAATATTATTACATATTGTGTTATTATGAGTTGAGCGCTCACAAGTTCTGACATTTCCCGGAGCAGGCAGCAACGCTAAAAACGTATTCGATCAGAGTCTCCGCTCTGGTTCCGAGCTCATTCCTTAGTCGTTTCAAGCAATCGTTCGATATTCTGTATTCGCTTGACGACTTCGAGAGATACAGGGCAGCACACATAAAATGAAGCCCTGGCAGCGAGAAAAAAAATTGCAGGTGCCCTGCCTGTTCAGTTCTGACTGATGAAGGAGACACGTGGGACTGCGTCAGGGGTTTCTACTTATTCATGTATGCAGAGTGAATTAAGGTGGTGATAACTGATAACTTGGAAAAGGTGTGATTCAGTAAAGTTTCAGCATAACTGAGATTGATCTATCCGAGCTTAGTATAATAATAATAATAGAGATAATTGTCGCCACGCACACAATTGCGGCGGAAGCGCGGATATTATAGGTCCTTCTTGCAATCCTTGGTATTGATTGAGAGCCTCACTTAGTCCAAGAAGACATCAGCTAATGTCGGGAATTGAGTCCGGGGCCTCCCTGACGATTGCGACGTCAACATGGCGCACGCCTGCATCCGTCGCAAGGCTAGGAAGTCGAGCGCCTCGCGGGCTCGTACCTGTACTGGCTCCCCCAATCACCTTGTTCAAAGGAGCGTGGGCATAGGGCCCCGTCGTGATTGTCTTCGACGCATATCGGGATTTTCAGTGAATCTAGGAATATTCGGGAACGAAATCTTCTCGTGCTGACTGAAAGTGCCGCCTGGAGTCTCGCCACCACGAGCAATTTTCCGATACATTTCTGATGTTCCTTTCTCGCTCGGGAATTTCCTTGTGATCATCCTGAGCTCCCTCGTACCGAATTCGTTCAGTCTACCCACCGATGGAGCGCAACGTGAGCGCAGGGGAAGCATCTGAGGAAAGCGAGGGGGTCGCTCGAGCCTCTAGAAGCGCTCCCGTGCGGCGACCGGATTCGGGCACGGCTTTCCCTCTGGAGCACACCGTCTCGGGCCGGATTCGTCGAAGGCCGGTGCAGAGAGACAATTGAGGAATTGTCCGCCGTGCATTCCTACATTCCACGGTGCCTCAGGAGCTCCCTCGCAGCGCGAAATCCTCGCCAGAGCCGATGATCGCACGATCCTT